AGTGTTTTTTTAAGATTGTTTTGGAAAGATGGTTAAAAGTTAATTTTTTGATTTTTTTTTACTATTTTATGTGAAAAGTAATGTGACCTAAAATAAATTAAAAATTGACTTCTAACTTTTTTGATGTGTTGCTAAAACATCCCTTAAAAGCATTTATAAAATGAGAAAGCCAAAAGGCAAAAAAAGGAGGGGGCCTAAAAGGCATCAAAACTAAAAAAGAGGAAAGAAAAAGGTTTCGTAAAACAAACAAATTAAATTAAATGGGTTTTAATTTTTGGTTCAATTCCGTGTTGGCTCACGCGTGGCCCCTTTTAACTCCCACTGCCCCCTTCTTCATTGGCTACTTTTTTTTATATTTTATTATATATATATATATATTTAATGCTACCCTAACAAAGAAAGGTGATGTTGTGACAATCTATTTGAATATTTAAGACAATTCTCTATTTTACATATGTCTTTTTTAATTATTAGTCAATCACTTTTTTTTACATATAACGGGATCATAAAACTAGAGTAAGTCTATGAACCCCACTTTAACTACCCCACATGGGAATGTGTGGTTGAGATTGAATTTGTGTAGTGTGGGAGTCCATGTGCAGAATAAATTTGAACCATGAGATGATAATTCTAGATAATTTCTAGGTAGTTAAGTCTGAATTTGTTATATTACTATTACAATAAGTCTAAAAAATGAACTTCTATATATTTTTCTCTTATTCTATATTACTTTTAGTGTATCATCTATCTCCACCCTTGCAACGGAGATAGATATTAGTAGTGAAACTCATTATATCAATGATAGAATGACATATGAGAAGAATTAAGTATGCTCCATCTCAGCTCTCTCTCTAGTTTGAGAGCTTCTCTCTCTAGACTTTTCTTCTCCTAGGGTTTTCAGAGGCTGTAATAGTTGGTGGTGGATGAGGGTGTTCTGGTGGCCTCTGCCCTCCTCTACCCTCCCCCTACCCCTCTTTTTCTCTTTTCTTTTGTTGCTTTGCTATCTGATAACTTGGAAGCTTTGGCTTTCCATCCTCTCTTCCTTTGTGAGGTGTTTCTTTCTCCCCTTCATTTTAACTCCGACAATGGCCTTCATAGATCCGTCGTCACGCCTCTTTTCTGCCTTCCGCCGGCGTCGCCTCCTCATCCACCTTATGTTTTCATCCATCATCACCTTTTTCCTCAGATCTACAGGATGTTCCCCCAGATCCCATTTTTCTCTGCCGAAATCTTAGCCCCTCTTTCCTACCGCCTTCACCACCGCAGGATTCGCCGCCGCTGCTGCCAATAATTTGTTTGGTTGTGGGTTTATTCGTGTTTTTTTTTGGTTTCTTTTATGTTTTGTTCTACTGTTTGTTTGGTTATTTAGAGTCCATCAGTGTGGGATTGTTAAGCTTACCCTCTCTGTGGTTGGGATCCATAATTTATCTCGAACATTCTCTATTGTCGAACTTTTATGATCAGCTCTGTTTCGCAGTACGAGCACGAGCACAAATTGTGCGTCTAAATATTTTCATAGTTTTCTTTCCTTTGTGCTTCTCGCTCTATTTTCACTTGTTTGGTGTAATTTTTGAGTTGGATGGACTCTTGTAAGTGGCGTTTGGCTTTCTTGAATGAAATTTTCTTCGAATAAAAAAAAGAAAAAAAAAATGACGTATGAGATGATACATAGCAATAGATAGTATAAAGGGCAAATTACAAATACACTCCCTAAGGTTTTATTAAAATATGAATTGCCTCCTGTGGTTCTAGAAATTACACTCCACTCCTTGAGATTTCTAATTTTATATCAAATCGCTCATTTTATTAATAAATCATCAAGTCAATTAACTATTTTTAATGATGTTAGAAATATGTTTTAATTAATAATTTAGGTAATTTTATTATTGTATAGAAGAGCAATTATGAATTTCAATTTTTAATTAATTCTATTAAATAAAAAATTCTAACAATGGACATTTGTAATTGTTCAAACCACAGGGAACAATCTGTACTTGAAGCAAACCTCTGGAGATGTATTTGTAATTTACCCTAGTATAAAAAGTGATGAATGTGACATTATTATTCTCCCAATAATAGAGATCTCCATTGACATCCTTCAATTGCAAATTGCTTAATGCTAGTAATATTATTAAGAATGTTGATAAATTATATCAATGATAGAACGACATATGAGATGATACATAACAATAGATAATACAAAAAAAGTGATAAATGTAACGTTATTATTATTCCTGTTACAATATTATGTTATGTGTATATTAAATATTGCGTTGAATAATTATGTAATAATATATACAAGACTCCTTTGTATAGGAAGAGAGAAACCTAAGTATGGTAATGAATAATATGGTATGTATGATAGGCATAATATATAATTACTATATTTAACAATCCCAATAATAGAGATCTCCATTGACACCCTTCAATTGCAAATTGCTTAATGCTAGTAATGATATTAAGGTCTCGTTTGGAAACAAATTTTTTTAGTAACTTTTTAGTTTTTTGGTTAAAATATGAGGTAAAAAAAATTAGTATGGTTGGAATGATTTTTTAGTTTTTTTACGATAGAATGTGCAAAAAGTAAAGAAAAAATGAAATCTTTAATTTTTTGATATAGGTTGTTGGCTTTTTGATTTTTTTAGTGACTTTTTTACTTTTAAGCTAAAACAATAAGTTGCCAAACAAGGCCTAAGAATGTTGATAAATTATATCAATGATATATGAGATGATACATAACAACAGATAGTATAAAAAAGTGATGAATGTAACGTTATTATTATCCCAATAACATAGATTTCCATTGACATCCTTCAATTACAAATTGCTTAATGTTGGTATTGATTATGTTGATAAATTATATCAATGACATATGAGATGATACATAACAATAGATAATATAAAAAAGTGATGAATGTAACGTTATTTTTATCCCAATAATAGAGATCTCTATTGACAACCTTCAATTTCAAATTGCTTCATGTTAGTAATAAGATTAAGAACGTTGATAAATATATCAATAAGTATATCAATTAGACTGATTTTTGAATTTGGAGTACTTTATAAATCAAGAAAAAGTTACATATTTAAATATAATATTTCGTTTGGTTTAATTTGCTTCATATAAAATATTTTATAATTGAAATAAACCATGCTGATAAAAGATTGGTTAAAAATTGAAATTCTGATTGTTCTTGGACAATCCACTTGGTTCGACCAATTTTTCTTACACCACTATTTATTTTTGTATTCTACTTAAAGGGCATGTTTATTTATGTATATTAATAATGATTATGCAAAAACATTTATTTTATTTTACAATTAATTATACTAAGATCCTTAATTATTAACAAATATTACTTTACTTATTCATTTATGAACTATACATATTAACCATCTCAACTATGAAAATCATTCAAATACCTCTCTTTTTGAGATAGTATGGAAAGGGTTTACAAGAGTAAAAGTGTTACATTTTTATAATTGAAAAAATAAAAATATATAAATTCATTGATAAAAAAAATAAAATGATATTCACTCATAGATGAATGTTTGCTATGATAATTACATACATGAACTTGTAACAATTCTTTTAAGATGTCCTATATGTTTGTCATTGTCGTTGATTGAATAAATCAGAATATATTGGGTTTGTTTGGTTTGTATCTCAAGATATAATTTTTGAGAAATTTTTTTAAAATTTTGTTTGGTTCAAATTTTTTGAATGTTTTTTTCCAAAATCACTCTCTCTCTTACACATTAATCAACTACTTTTTCTCTCTCCTCTCTCAGTTTCAATCATTTTTTCTCTCATACACATCTACTCAACTATAACAAAATATCAAATTATCTCAAACTCCGAAACTCCAAAACTATTTTCAAAATATACAATCAAACAAATCAAAAAACATTCTAAACTCTCTCTTCAAATCACAAACCAAACACACCCATTGATTTCAGCATGGAGATTTGGGAAATAGATAACAAACAAAAGTTTTAAAAATAAATAAAAATAAAAAAACACAACGCATAAAGCCAGCTTGGGGCTGAGAAGTGAGATTTTAGCTTAATTTAGGTTAAAATTTAAAAAAAAAAGATAAAATAGGTTAAAATAATTAATAAGACAAAATGTCACATCAAATTTATAATTATTTTATTTTTTCTCTCACAAATATCACATCCAACTACAAAAAAATCCGATCATCTTCCCAAATATAAAAATGTTAGACTACTAAAATAACCTACTAAAATAGCAACTTCTCAAACACCCACTGAGAACAACACTGATTTCTTCCTTCCCACTTTAAAAAAAGCACTTCTTTCTTTTTATTTTATTTTTAATTTTTGGGTGAGTGTATTTTATTTTTAATTTTTGGGTGAGTGGGTACATACACTTGATTAATAAATAAATTGCACTTTATCCCTTTACAAACAAGTATTATATATATATATATATATATATTTTTTTAATTTTTAATTTATTTCAATCTCAACTATCTATTAACATTCTATTATGAAAAAAAGAAAAAGAAATAACACATGAATTTTACACGTATATATCTTTCCTCTCACATATTTTTCATAAGATACGAAAAACATGTATACATCTCCTACATATATGTATATATGTAACATAAATTAGCTCTTAATTGAGCATTTTAATCATAAAATTAGTAACTCACATGTTACTTTTCTGTTCTGTTAATAGAATGTCAACAATAGGAGTTGGATTGAAATTAAAAAAAAAATTAATAACAAAAATAATAATTACCCATAAGTGAGGAATAAAGTGTAATTTGTCTAATATTTAACTTTATCCAGCTTTCTAAGTTAGTATTATTCCATATTTTCTCTCATTCATAGAGAGAGAAAGAAACAAAAATAAAAACAAAAACAAAACAAAACAAAAAAGAAGAGAGAAGAGAGAAAGAGGAGTTTTCAGTATGACTTCAGTTATTTTTGGTGCTCTCTCTCTCTCTCTCTCTCCAAAGTAAACTCTTCTAATTTTTTTTTTCAAATCCTATAGTTGTATATTCCATTTTGTTTGTACTCTCATTTGAGAAGAGATAAGAAGTTGAATTGGTAGATGAAGCTGATGAAGATGATGATAACGATAATGAAGTGGTGAAGTTGAATTCTATCTGTAATCGCTGGTGGAGAGCGAAGTAAGAAACTGGTTCCTTCTTCTCTTCCGATTCAAGTTCCCTAAGTGGTATAGCAGCTAGAAATCTCTTCATGAACTCTCTGCAACACTCTTTGCCACTGCAAATTTCGTCCTCACTTGCCTGATCGGAACTGACCCCTTCTTTCTCTACCTTCCCGCGCATCAAAGCCGAGTCATCAAACCTCAAAATGTATGCTTGGTTGCAACCCTCAAAGAGTCGCTCACCGAATGTGTCGATGATGTAGTAAGCGTTGACGTCGACCTTCAACACGAAGAAATGATCATTTCAGCTTACTATGTAAATCCTAGGCAGGTCATTGTCACCCTCTGCGTTCTTCTTGATCTCATCCCATATCTGATCAAAAGACATGACTCCTTTCAATGTCTCGAACTTTTCCAGGCCGAAGAATCCGATGAAGGACTTCTCATGCAAGACCGATATTGGGCAGAGTCTAGCTTGCAGGACGGTTTCGATGTCAAAATGCTTGTCGGGGAATTAGTTTATCAAGTCCTGATTGTCACAGAGCTTTCTCCATTCAGAGGAGCCTTCGACTATGAGCCTGTCGAATTGGGCCCTCGTTGGCATGTTGTCTTGGTTGGATTGAAGCCAATTGGCAATGACTGCAGCCAGTACTGTACATGCGCTTTCTCCGGCAGCTTTGTCGCTGCGTTGGTCGAAGGAAGCGAAGAAGACGTTGGCTTTGAGCTTTGCTTGGCCATCTCTACTGACTAGATCCTTTTCTTCCCAATGACCAGTGGTGCTAGGTTCCCTTTGCTTACGAGCAGGTTCATTGACATCTAATTTCTGCAAAAAAATAATTATGAAGAAAGGTTAGATTACAATTTTCAACCTCACTAATAGCAAAATATGTATTGATATTGACAGTACAGTTATATATTAGTTGGTATCGGACAATATCAGTAAATATATTGAAAGTTTAAAATCTCGATGCATATCAGTTCGTATGTTATGTATGGGGCACTATTTAAAATCCTGCAAAAGACCCCCCAACCCATGTTGGAATAGTAGCCCAAATACAAGCTTATACGAACTTTAGGGTGTTGTCTTTAGGAGAAAGAAAAATGTACTCAGAAATGGATTACTTATGCATATTTATTTATCATGTGTAATTAAACAAAAAATAGATTTATTGATAAATATTATTCATTTTCTTAACCCAAGCAATAATCAACTTTTTTATTTTAACTAAGAATGCAATTTATGTAGTCTATTTCGCTGGCAACTCTTTCATATAGAACCATATTCGGAGTTCGTAGCAATTAAGTCACATAGGAAAATGAAATAAACAAACTGCCAAACAAGATTTAGGATGGTATGCCTTTGATTTTTGGTTAATAGAATAATCAAAAAGAAAATAAACCTAAACAGAAGATAAATTGCTTCATTTTTCTTTGGTTGATCAAAAAGTATTTTAGAAATTCCAACCAAATAGTGCCAAAATATTTTTTTCAACATTAGCACACCAACGAGAAGCATATGCAGGAAGTAAAACTTGTGAATGAACTTACAAAGGCTTCTTTTTGGTATTCTGTGTTTAGCAATTTCTCCAGAAAAGAACCTTTTTCTTGATAAATTCCACGTGTCTTCTCTGCATCTCTCTATATTGATATAATGACAAAGAATTTTGAAATAACTGTGATCGGTTTGCAGTGTCAGGTGCTCTGTTTGTAGCATCAACTGCTAAATCGTTCCCAACAATAGTTCCCTTTGTCTCATTCATAGGAGTTTCAGCACTAACCACATTTGCACCATCTTGTGATTGAGATGCTCCTGGTACAGGGAGAGTTACAACCGGAAGATTCAGCTCCTGACAAATGACCTCTGAACCTTTAGGTCCTTGTCATTAACAATAGCTTGCCACCTTCCATAGCCATGCCTTCACATCCAACCATATTAGTTATGAACTTATGACTGTCAATATCTATCATATATAAACTATGAGCCTTATCTTACGACTAATCCTATCAAAGTTTGGGCTTGTTTGGTGCAGCTTATTGAGCTTCTTATAGATTTTTTATTTTTGAGTTTTGTGCCAGAATGTTTGGTGTTTGGCACTCACATAAAACATTGGGGGTGTGATATACTATGAAAATGCAACTTGTCCTATAGTTCTGGAAAAATAGTGCACATGACACACAAACATTTTGTAACGCCCTCAAAATAATAACATTAAACCCATCAAATAAGGCATGTCCGGATCACTGTACAACAAGGGTAAACCCGGGATCGCTATACATTTACTCATAAACACACAAGTACTTCCATAGATGCATAAATTCATATATAAAAAATGTATTTCTTGTCACGTCTTTGTATTTAGTCAAAATCCACTTTTGGAATTATCCAAGTTCACAAGCCTTGAGCCTATCCAATGACCATTTTATTTCCAATATCAAAAAGGCAACCAAAAAATGCTTGTAAGAGAAACATACATAAAATCAGAAGCTCATGGTTAACAATAACATTAGTAAAAATAAACATATAAATGATAACCAATACAATCAATTGCCATAGAGTGTTATCAGTAAGAGTCCATCATATCAAAGACGCAGAAGTCAACATCTATGGCATGCTTTTAGGACATTAACTGAAACATAAACTTTAAAACTTATTGACAAGTATAGCTAGTACTGTACTGCCTACATCATCACTTCTATTCAATATATACTTTGAAAATGAATTTATTTATTTTTTCTCAAGTAACTCACACAGTGTATCTAGAAAATGTTTTGCACCAAATTACCATAACACAGAATCTAAAACCGTGGCTGGCAATCAAATTAAACAAATCAAAAAATAATTGTCGCCAACACATAAAATTCCCATCTAACTATAACTAACAGCTATGTACTTTAACACTCCTCTCATATCTTTCCCTTCTTTATAAAGGATGCATCTTCCTTTCTATCTCAGTTTCATTCAATTTACCTCTTTTTAGAACAGAAAAGAGAAATAAACATAAAAAAGAAACATACTTTAATACAACACGGAGTAGTAATAGATTGTGATGCTCTTTCCAAAACCTTCCCCTCTTCAATCCTAGGAAACGAGATACTATGTCATTTGGAAAAGGGGGAGTGCCTGGCTTTTCCGATGCAGCCTTCATCTATCATTGTACAAAAAGGTTTATAGTTAAAATTTTAAATAAAATTACCACGACAGTTTTAAGATTCAATATATGATATTTCTAGATCTTCATCGAAGCAACATTTACATTTAAGGACTGCTTGATAGATGTTGAGGGGCCATACCGTGATACTACCAATGGAAAAGATTATAATTTTTTAGACTTCTGTGGAATGAATTAGCATTTCAAAATTAAGGTTCTACGCATTGTTCAATCCATGCCAATGTGCATACATGGATTGCTTCAACTAAGAGTTCAGCTTATTGTAATTCTTTTTTAAATTGAATTTTTTAAATGAAAAACACCAATGCTTAAGACTCATGTCACGCATCCTAGACCTATATGTTAGGAATTTAAAATGGAAAAACCAGGCTTTCACCATTTAAGCACTATTTGAAATAAGGAGGGATATGAGAACAACAGTCCACACAAATCATAGCTTTAAAATGATTCCCAAGTTGACCACTCTTAAAAATCCAAAGCTACAAAAGTACTAACCAACCAAGTGGAACTCTATCATCAAGCATACAAAACTTGCTTTGTTCCTTATCAGAAGTAACACTGCAATCCTAACAAGTACGTCTTCTATGCTTAGTCCTTTAGGAACACCATCTGCAGCAAAATAATGAGTGAGAACAAAAAAATTAATAACAAAAAAAAAAAGAAAAAAAAGAGGAGACAGAGAGAGAGAGAGAGAGAAATTATGGTCATAAAAGATGTAGAAAGAGCAGCAGAAAAACTAATTATAAGGGACAAACTGATCAGTGGGTGCACTTACTGATCACTTGTGGTAACTGATTATTAGTTTGAGAATCAATATCCATGGAGCATGGGCTTGGTATATCGAGAACCTTGGCTTCAGTCTCCAGCTCTTCAATAGGAGTCTCATTTGCTTTTGCGTCGCCCTACAACAACATCACATAATAAAGAGAAACCATATGAGTTAAGTATTGCTTCATTGCAGTTAACTAAGAATGCAATTTATGCAGTCTATTTCGCTGGCAACTCTTTCATATAGAACCATATTCAGAGTTCGTAGCGATTAAGTCACATAGGAAGATGAAATAAAAAAACCTTGATCAGCGAATCCTTGCAGTAGCTGATGGCATTTTGAATCATTTCGCTATACCCACCATCACCGCAGCTAGTTTTCTCCGACAAGTTACACGACATCTTCCCCTTGTATTTTTCTTTGCTTCTTGGCTCTGTCGGCTTGTAACATGAAAAGCACCTCTTGAGCTTCCGCATCAATGATGTCCCGAACCTCTAGTGATTGTGTGATGGGTTTGAATTTGAGGGCTTCATGGAGAGACAGAAAGAGAGAGAGAGAGAGAGAGGGGTGGAACTTTGTAATCTAAAACCCAAAATGCTGAAAATCTGAGATTGAATTTTAATTCTCAGTTCAACTCTTTTTTTCTCAGCAACAATCAGTGTTATAATTTGTTGATGACTTGTGTACTTGGCGTTGTGAGAATATATTGTATATATAGCATAATTGGTTATATTAGGAATCTTTGTATATATGGCATGATTGGTTATATTAGGAATTAGCCCTAAATCTATTACTGAAAAAGGAAATACAAAGATTGCTATTTACACTAATTCCTAATATAACCAATTATGAGAAGTAATATTTACACTAATTTTTACACTAATTCCTAATTCCTAATATACACTAATTCCTAATTCTTAATATACAATATAATTCCTAAATCTATAACCAATTCCTAATATTTACACTAATTCCTAATATACAATATATTCTCACAGTTGTTTGTAGTTGTTGGCTTTGGAAAGAAGAGGGGGCCCAACTCTTCTGAGAAGTAAGCTCATTCTAATGAGAATTAAGCTCAAGATCTTGAAAAAATCAAAACGAGAAGCACTTGCTAGATGGAATCTTCACATCCATATATAGCATTAAATGACATGTTAAAAGATATAAAAAGCATTGCTCAGTGTAAATAGCAGTCCGATTCTGAGATGGAAGACATATCAAAAGAATTCACCTTCTGTTGACACAAACCACCATAAAAATTGAAGTTCAAAGATTGAATATATATTTGAAACACAAGCATTAAGAAAAGGTCAAATTCAGCAAAGGGTAAGAAAGAATTGGAAATAGCAAAAACAACACTAACTGCAATTACAAGGATAAATAGCTAGGACGAGAAGAAGTACTACTGCGCCATAAACAATAAAGAATATTAAATCTGCAATCTAATAAGCTGGAAATCAGCAAAAAGTTGAAGACTATCAAGTGCCACTTAATAAGAAGTAAGTACTCAAAAAATTGAGAAAGACCTTGGGTAAATATTCTGTCACAATCATCATTGGGGTACTTTATGTTACAGTACCCAGAAATTGGACTACATTTGGATGTCGTATCTTCTGAAGCAATTCAAGCTCATCACTGAAAGCCCTCCTGAGTAAAATCAACAAAAAGCAAAATGAAAACCAAAAGTTCAGAAAATAATATAAACAAAATGAAAATGCCATCATATGGACAACTCACATTTTATCCTCATCGGCAGTCACTTCCTCCCCAAGTTTTTTCACAGCAACTTCTATTCCTTGCCATGATGCTACACAGAAGGTTCCCTGGGATATGTTTCAGTTAGTCTATAAAAGATGAATTACTACTTTCAAGACAGAAAAGAAACAGAAGTATGATTGCTGCAACATAAAGTAACCAGATCAACAACCTGAGTTTGCCAATTAAAACTACACCTATGACTCAGTCAGCACAGATGTTTAGTCTCTTCTTTGTTACGAAACATTAATTTTAGGCAATGTTTCACCAAAATATAAGAGGTTAGACACTTTAAATTCTTGAAACTAATGTTTTTCTTGTTTTAAATATAATAGGTTAATAAAATCGCTAATGTTTTTCTTGTTGAGGTTTTTTAATATTAAAAACACAATCCAATGAAAAAAAACAAAAATAAAAGATTAGGCTGTCACCCATTTAAAGTATTTATTTATTTTTTTGTTATGTCTGACAGGGCATACAAATTAAAGCACCAAAGTGTTACATAACCACTTCCAAAAGAGTTGAAATTACCTTTCTGCTTCGCCCATGGCCTCGGACCATTTTCTTTGCAAAGCTTCATTGGTGGTGGAAATGGCTTTGGATCACGACCCAAAATAAACCAAAATCAACATAGAAAAGGCGGCCATCAATACATGTGCCATTTTATGAAGCTGTCCCACAAGCTAAACTGCCTCGACAGAGTACTTGTTGAGGTGTTTTTAGCCACCTTAAAATTTCATTTTTGTCGTAGTGACAATTACATTACACCATTTATAACTGAAATAGGAATCTATAATTTTAAACAAGAAACAAATGGCATATGCATTAAAACGCAGATTACATGACAAGAAGGCATTAGATTTCCCAGTAACTATTCAAGTAGAGAAATTCCGAAGACATGCTGACATACTGAGGACCTAGTGACATGCAAAACTCATACAATAATACATCAAAATGAGACAAAAAAGACACGGTTTAAATAAGTCCAGTCCCCTACTCTAAACAAACTATTGAAATTGTATAAAACAAGGGATATATTTCAGTTTCCCTCTAATGACTGTATGACCACCCTCCAACCCTTTATGAAGACACATAATAATGTTCTATTACTTGTTAGGCCCATATCTTTTGACATTATGTCAAATGCAACAAATGTTGCTACCATCCACTTCCCTACCACTAGCGCACACAAGAAGAAAAAGTTAATTTTTCTTTAAATAGTTGCGATTTGGGGTAAACAATATATATTTATATGTTTGTATACTCAACTTACTATTTAGAAAGGGAGAAAGAAGAACAACTAACCTGACAATTACCATCACCTTGAACCTTGTGCTCAACTAAGTCATACAATTGCAATATGTAAAATAACATGTGAAGTCAAGTTTACTACATGTAGTACACGTAAAAAAGAGCATATTGCAAAGAAAGAATATACAATTGCAATCTGTAAAATAACATGTGGGTTAGACACTTTTTTTTTTGGGGTCTCAAAGTCTAAAGAATATATTCACCAGAATAAAAAAAACGGAGCATAAAATTAGAGAAGCATAATATATCTTAATATACGAAATTATAAAGCCAAGTCACTATGTCACTGACAAGTATGCTAAGTGATGGTGGAAAAAGGTTCTTTGGCTCAGTTCCATCTCAAGCCATACTAGAGCTTCCCCAAATTCTGCAGAACCAAACAAGTTGAACCCAAAACCCACCTATGCTTGGAAAGCTTTATTATGCATAACACATTCAAGCTGATCAAAAAAAAAAATGCATAACCCATTCATGTATTCACAAACAAAGAAGGGGCAGGGGAGCTTTATTCCAGTAATTTTTGAGTCTTTAATATATATATGTATATATGTACATACAAGCAACAACTAGTAGAACATAAGCAACGACTTTTTTTAACATATAAAAGATGCATAACAACCTCCAACCTGAGTAGTGCAGAGATATTGTTGGTGGAAAGTTACTGTATTTAAGCAATGAAGACAAAATCAACCTTTAAGAACTATCCTCCCAATCATTCTTTGAATATTAGCATGTCAGGATATTGATTACAAGTATAGAACATGATGTCCAAATATCATATACAGTCTACAGAAGTCTCTGAAACGATACTTCAAATAAATTAGAATTTATTGCCAACCCTTTATGTTTTAAGAACCTCACTTAAATGAACTCAAGGGTATGCAAGGAGAAAAGTAAGATAAAAGGGCATACCACAACTATAATACAAACAACTATAGAATCCTTTTAGAAAAGTCAATACTGTATCATATTTCTCCACTTGTCCTTCAAATCAACCTAAACAAAATAACCTCAGATATTTAGCACAAAGAAAAAGAATGCCAAACCAAACAAAGACACTTGCAAATGATCATAACACTTCTCACCTTGGTTCTCTCTTCAAATATGTCATGATATGAATTTAAGATGAGCTTCCAGTTCCCTATACCGGACCTTCAGAAGAAAGATACACAAATGTGTAAGGAAATTTAATTACTAAAAAAGATTATTATTCATTTCTTAATTTTCTCGGAGGACATGGAAACAACCCTCAAAGAAAACATAAACAAAACATTCTTCCCCAATGGTTAACTCATATATGCTACAATGCAATCCATCATGCTACTATTATACCATTGAGGTCAAAAAATTAAACATGTTTCTAAAAGAAATTGAAAGAGAGGTTCAATTCTATAGCTGTTGTGAATAAAAGGTGAATTTCTCATCATTTGATTGTTGGATATTTCCACAAATTTGTGTATAATTCAGCAAAACATCAGTAAATTTGATACTAGAATTGTATGACAAACAACAAAAACCCATTCCCTGCTTCAAAAGTTTAGTTCTCATCATTTGATTGTTGGAAATCTACCCTCAATTATAATTCAAATACATAAATTCAAGTACATACACACACTCACAAACATACAGAGAGAATCTAAAAAGACAATACCAGTATTGCCGTGGCTGTCTCTTGAGTTCCCATCAATACAAAGCATAGTACTGCCCTCACTGTAAAACTGATGAACAAAATCTGGTTGCTGCTGAAGTACCTGGTAATACTGCCCAACAAAGTACGTCCCAACCTGAAATCCAAAGACCCATCTTTTTAGAGAGAGAGAGAGAGAGATGACTTGAGCAGCAGTGACTGGCAGGTGAAATAGAGTAGCCATGATGAGTCTTGAGGGGCTCTAAAACCCTAGAGCTCTAATCAAACCCTAGATCGGCAATGCAGCAGCGACTCCATCGTCATCATCATCGTCGTCCTCATCATTCACGCTCTGTTCTGAACTGTCCTCACTATCATTTTCTTTATTACTCCCGCGAATCAACCTATCTCCACTCCTCCTCTTGTTCCGACTCAACCGGTCACGGTCTTGGTCCCGGTTCCTGTCTCGATCCCGATGATCTCCATCCTTCTTCACTCAACTGGTTTATCTTCCTCTGCAAAATTATCAGAATCAGAATCATGAAAAACATAAAACCGTTCAGAAATTTCAACCAAATCGACTCAAGAATCGATGGATTTAGAATTAGATTTGAACAAGTACTCTGTTGAGGCAGTTTAGCTTGAGGAGAATGAAGAGAGACAAAAAAAAAAAACCCTAGATCTTGGACGGTGAGAGGAAACGAGAAGAGAGAGAAGTGAAGAGAACAAACAAAATGGAGACTGAAGGAGACGGAGCACCGTCATAAAGGGGAATGAGTGTGTATAAGAGAGGATAACGCATGTCTTTCAATTTCACTTCATGTCTTCTACAGTGTTTTTCAATAAACGGTGTCTAACAAACGTGGCTGTAGACAACTTTTGTTGTAGTGAGACATGCGTAGTTTTAGGCTATTTTGGTTCTTGAATGAACTCACTACAAAAATTTCAGGTTTTTGCGATGGCAAAATGCAGTCGCTAACACTCCTAATGTCATCTCAAAAAACTTTTAGCGACGGCAAATGACTTTTAGCGACGGAAAAAAGGGGGCCACAACAGAGGGTGTTGCAAAAAAGTTTTAGCAGCATGCCGTTGTCTTTTTTTTTTGCGACGGCAAATGTTGCCTTTTGCGACGACATTTTACTGTCGCTTATAATATGTAAAAAATTAAGACCTTTTGCGATGACACTGTTTTACCGTAGCTAAAAGTTTTATTTGAGACAGCAGGAAATGCTGTTGCAAATTGTGTTTTTTTTTGTAACGGCATGACCACTGTCGCCAATGGTTCTAATGTTTTTTGTGACGATGTGGTACCGTCGCCAAAAAAAAAAACCAATAAAAATATTAAAATTATCTATATTTTTGCGACGGTGTGGCGCAAAAAAAAAAAACTGCAATAAAATTAATTAAAATATTAAAATTACCTGTATTAAATGAAAAACAATTGAAAAAGAAATCAATAATTACATAATAATATAAAAATTCTTGTATCGAAATAACAATTTCTCCATAATAAAAATATTCTTGCATTTATAACTACACATCAACAAAATTACCCCACTACATAATGTTCCATAATACATATATAATGTTTAAATACATAATGTTGTTCATAATTCAAAATAACATAAACCAAAATTAAAAGTTTTCCTCATCATTCTCCGTGGGTAACAAAAACAAAAGTTAGTCGCATTTTTCACAAGCATGCATTCTACAAGAACCAAACTCCTACTTGGGAATATCTGAAAACAAAAAATAAAAATAATTAATGACAATATAAATGTGTTAATATGTTAATTACAAAAAAATATAAAAATTTAACTACTATACAATTACAAAGATAACTAAGTAAATAATTTTGCCTAGACCGAAATCTGGCTCTAACTCCCAAACCGGGAACCCGATTCGAGTCTCGTCTTCTCCGACAAGTCTCTCATGCCTAGGCGGTCGTGTGTGCCAAGTTTTGTGCTAATCCGACGCCGTTTGGTGATTTTGGGGCGTCAACACCTCGAATTCTCAGTTTCTTAAAAAACTACTTTGTCTAAAGTGAAATCTGGCTCTAACTCCCAAACCGGGAATCCGATTTGAGTCCCATCTTCTCCCACAAGTCTCTCGTGCCTAGGCGATCTTGTATGCCAAGTTTCGTGCTACTCTGACCCCGTTTGGTGATTTTGGGGCGTTAACACCTCGAATTCTAAATTTCTTAAGAAACTAGTTTGTCTAGAGTAAAATCCAGTTCTAACTCCCAAATCGGGAACCCGATTCGAGTCTCGTCTTTTCTCATAAGTCTCTCGTGCCTAGGCGGTCGTGTGTGCCAAGTTTCGTGCTAATCCGACGCCGTTTGGTGATTTGGGGCGTCAACACCTCGCATTCTAAGTTTCTTAAATAACTAGTGTGCTTAGCGTGAAATCCAGTTCTAACTCTCAAACTGGGAACCCGATTCGAGTCCCTTCTTCTCTCACAAGTCTCTCGTGCCTAGGCAATTGTGTGTGCGAAGTTTCGTGGTGCTACTCCGACGCTGTTTAGTGATTTTGGCGCGTTAACACCTCGAATTCTATGTTTCTTAAGAAACTAATTTGT